CGTTGAACTCCAGGAACGTGCCCAGTCGCTCTGAGATGCCGACTTGAAGGGTATTAGACGTCGCGGTGATGGCAGTAGCAGGTGCGCCGGCAGGCATGGAGTCAATGACGTGGATAGACTGCGAAAAGAGAGATTGGAGGTAATGAAGACGAATAGCGGACGATAGTCGGATACCAATCATTCGGAAGCAGTATTTGTTGATGGTGTTGAGACACCAACGACCCAAGAACAGAGCCATGATGTAAAGCGCCTGTCGGTTCAGGATGGATTGAAACTTATCAGTCGGGAAGCTAGACGTGTCCCTGAAGTAGTCTGTGAACTGATTGACGAGCTGGCCAAAGATGATGTTCATAAGCGGCATGGTAATCCCAGCGCCAATGGATGCGAAGGAGGCGAGGGCGTAGATGAAGAAGTCCCATTTTGTAGCGTAACTAAAGACTCGTATGTAGTCGGCGACTTTTGGTGTTCGTTGGGGTCTTTGGGTATCTTGGTTCGTGGTGAGGGATTTCTCGTCATCGTGCTTGGCGTCGGTAGGGGGTTTGGCGTCGGCGGCCATGATGGAGGAAGGGGTAATAGTGTTCTGTTGACAAGAAATGTATTAGCACAACAGTCAAATAATGTATCGAAGGAGGAATTGAGGTCGTTACTGTTTTAATGCAGATTTCCACCGCTGGAATCACGGGGATCGAGGTGTCTATGCCAAGCAGTCAACAACAGCATGCATACGCTCGCTTGCGAGAAAAGAGTATATGAAGGATAGACTGAGAAAGAAAGGTTGCAATTGCAACAGAACGGAACAAGATAAAGTTAAAGATAAGAATGAGATGGGAGATGAACCAACGCAAAAGATCTCGAGTCATATTCTGTCAGCGCGTAATATCTTATGTAGCCAACCCATCTCGTGCTGAAGAACCCCTGTCTCATCGAGTTCTGCGCATTCTCGCTCCCTCGTAAGAGACGATTTCCTGTTTTGGACGTTTTACGAGCTCCACTCTTTTTTTTCGCGACGTCGAAGTGGGCCCGTATAACTCGTACCGAACTAAATCCTGACAGGTAACAGTAATCTTCCTTTTGACGTTTCACGCATTTCAGGCATCTCGGGGGTCAGAAGCTTCCCGATACTGAACCCGTAAACGTCCCGATTTGTAGCTTCTTTTACGACCCGGCGGGTGATAATTGCTGTCCGTGGCTAGAATCAGCAAATTCTCTGTAAGTGCAAAGATGTTAGGGTCATCAGGAGACAAACGAAAGCATGAGGGGGGTTTCCAACCTGGAATCAAGAGCTAAATCCTTCAATAACAGAGCTTGAAGAGAGTATGTCTATTCAAGGAAGTAGGTTGAGCGGTGCATGTCGAACAAGATCACCAAGTCTTGGGAAACAGTCATGGGAAAGGGGCTGTATTGTCAATGTCGTTGATCCATACGCCTGTATTCTACGAGATGACCAGCAGGATTGATTCTACGAATGTACTGAGAATATGTCAACTCTTTTCGATGGGATTGTAAGTAGCCTCTTGCCGCTCCGCCAATAGCGTCATCCAAGTGAAGTGCCTTCCTACGGCCCAACTACCATGTCCTCTGAGATACCTGCACATTGTTGTCTTTCGAAGAGGGAAGTGAGTAGTGCAGTCGCCATGTCCCGAGATACTCAGGCCTCGTTCTCATAGCACAGCTACCGGCAGAGGCCTCTGGGATAACGAGAGGCTGAAATCAGCTACCGGAACACAGGCTTCGGCCAACACCAAATTCAGAGAATGTATAGAGGAAGGCTGTTAGTTGAAAAGAGTAACGATAGATCAAACCAGCTATCCACGCCGTGAGTGATTCGGGCCTCAAACAAAACAAGGTTATAGAACAACTCAGTCCTAGAAATGCTTTTCGATTATTGGTCGTTTTGGGGCGCTTGGTGTATTATTTGGTAGAAGATTTCAGTTACTTCCTCGCCTCCGTTACGGGGGCCAAGGGTCGGAAGCCCAACAGCCTTCGGTTCAGGGATTATTGCCGCAAGAGCAGTTCAAGCTCAAGTAAACGGCTAAGCACGAGCCTATTGCGCAAGCTTGGTAGGATCGTGATGTCTAGGTCTTGAAATCGCGAGAGGTTAGCTCAATGTTCAGGAAGATATCCACACGCTTTGTTACTCCACGCAGACAAGGGATTGAGTGTGACATTCAGCACTTCTGGTGGGGTCCATGGCCCCTGAAGTGACATGGAGTCCGGCTTCTGCCTTGGGCGATTCGAGCTACCTGGGGCCTTATGATTGCGCAAATGCGCTCAGAAAGGAGACAAGGGGATTGCTATCCATGTCCTCTTCTTGTAACCAGTGGTTGCCTGTTGAAGGTAAGTTCTGCGCAAATGTGCAAAGTTGGTAGGGCTCTAGATTTGTTTGTTAGTTACAGATAGTTTGACGTGGTCAATCTCATGTTTTCTGGGCAGCTTGCATTGGGCGGTTACACAGCGACGGAATGAGGGAAAGCGTTGTGCAACATTGAAGCCTGAGAGGGCTTGTTTGGTACCCCTTCTAAGTTAGGGGATTAGGCAGCAATCGTATCGCAAACAAAGCATTTTTGTAATTTTACTTGCTGGAGTCACCAGCTGTTTCCCAATTCTCATCTTCTTCGAGATGAAGCGGACTGTCGCGCTATTTCTGGCATGCCCGCGTTGGCAACACTCAGTTCCGACCTCAGGGTTGAGTTCCATGCTGCAGAGAGTCCGGCACAGATCTTGGTCGATCAGACGATCACGCCGAATGCTTTTGACCTCGGCAGCCTTGACGCAGTGAGGATAGAGCACCCTGGCGAAGCAACCGATGAGCGGCATTATCTCTGGGGTCAGCTCAAGTGAAGCATAATACAACCGAGAGGCAATCTACGTCCAAGGTTGAATCAGCTAGGCAAGCGACTACCTCGGATTCAGGTACTTCTACCGAGCCCAGGACATCCATTCTGTCTACTGAGATTAAGACAAGCACTATAGATTCCTCGCTTAGCGCTTCCAGTTCGTCCATGGTGAACCCAGAATTGGCTACGTCGTCTGACACCCAGCCAGCCAGCTCGGAGTCTTGGACCTCAACCTCAAGATCAATATCGGAATCATCCATTGGTCTAGAATCATCTCTGACGTGAGATCCAACAACCCCCACAGCTCCAGGTTCGATCTCCTACAGCATCCGAGTCGAGTTCGACTACAGCTCAGAGTCGCATCAAAGTCGACTACTACCAATGCCACTCCTGGCCCTACCACGTCAAATCTTTCCTCGCCCAACACGTCGGTAGAAACTTCATCTGTTACAAGCTGGGTTCTTACTGTATCTACCGCTTCATACCGACACCGGCCACGCCAATCACGACAAAGGGCCCAAATCCCCTTCTGACCTGGGTCGATGATCTGTCCCCCGCGGCCAGGGAAATTATTCCTGCGCCAGCTCAGTCTGACGCCGACAGAGTGTTACCAGTTTACAACCCGGCAAGCTCGACCTCAATGGTGCTTCTGGCCAAGAGGCTCTCGCTACCGAACGGCTGGATATGACTCGATCCCGCTGACGATTTGTTAGACTAGCTGACGGTTAGAAAATAGAAAAAGAACCTAACTCCGACGACGAATTGTGATCGAACAAGAAGCCAGGTCCCCGCCGTGCACCAGCCCTTCGATCTCGCTGAGAGGCATTGGTGGCCGTAGGTTCAACGGTCGTGGTTTCGCACAAGCAGCTTGCAAGCCTAACAATTGCTTTTCCAAGCAGGATGACTGGGAGCCCCAGGTCGCCTTTTCATATCCTGTTTTTACGACCTCTGACGAAGCCTCACTCATCTCTTATACCGGCTGGCGTGTCGAGTTCGATATCTATATTTACAACCAGGCGAGGTCTCGGCCGTCTGTCTCATCGCAAACACTTGTGGCGATTCAGTCGAGCTACTCAGACGATCCCTCGGTTATAACTTCACAGAAAACCGTTGTCTTTGCTCATGAGGGATCGAAAAGGTGCGACGCCACAACTTACTGCTCGTGCAGTTCTTACCTCGGGACTTGTACAGGACTAGAACACCAAGAGAATCTCATTTGCGTACAAGCGAATCGCTACAGGGGCGAGGACGGAGGCATAGCCCGTGACCACAACAACCTCAAGGGGCCCGATGTGCTGTATCTAAAGTACATCCATTTCAAACCCGACACTGTCATCTCAGAGAGCGGAGGGTACCCCTACCTTGTCCATAATGCTTGGTATCTGTCAGAAATGGATCGCCTGGTAACCCAAGATCCTCAGCTTCAAGGTGGTCATGTTGCTGCTGTGCGAAACTCGAACAATATCACCTTTGGCAGTCCTGCTAGAATCCTTACCACGGTTGGTCCTGAAGCACTCTACTGCCAAAAGCATTCCAATGATGTCTGCTCTTGTTTACATTCCCTTAAGACTCGCCCCGGTGACATCTCTTCAGGCAGTGGGACGGCGACATTCATTCAGTGTATGTATTGTATTGCTCTCGGACATAAGCCTATGGACTAAACCTTATTCAATAAAGCATAAATAAGCCGGTTCTTGTTTAAATGCGATCCGAAACCAAGAGGCTACTTTTTACCAATGAAACTCAAATTATCATGCATGGGCGTTTTGATATCTGCAACTACCAGTAATCTTCTCGTCACACTCACCACTTCCGGCTCAGCCGGCACACAAGGCACATTTTCTCGGTGCTGGTTTTGAAGCTGAATACAGGGTTCATGTGGTGTCGAACGTCTGATAGGCTAAAGATTTCATCAGCCTCAGTTAAAGTACTCCAACTCCATGGGCGGCTGTTCCAGCCAGATCTAGCGCTGGCGCTATCGAACGCCATGTCGAATTGGAGGGTTACAATCGAGCCGACTAGACCAGCAGCTAAACGGAATCATCTGATGAAGTCGAGTACATTATCAATCGCTAGTTGAGAAGTTGCTGACACGCTATAAAGAAACACAACCCCGAAGGACTTGCAACATACCAGTGAAATCACCTTTTACTTTAATGCGTCATGTCGGACCCTATCACCGCTTCAATACAGATCGGCATCTCAGCCGTAAAGGCCGGCGCAAGTATAGCGCAATGGTGGGAATTACGCCAGAGGAATAAACGCGAAGAACGGCAAGGCTCAACCTCGAGTGGAAGAGGTGCTGGGCTTGATGAGATCTACTTGGTCTTTGCCTCTTTGGGTCAGCGCTTAATGGCACTCGACGTGGTCAACTATGATGCTTTACCGCAGGCCCTCGCAGCTATCAAGGTTGCGATGGACGTTTCAGAGGATGATCTCACTTATGAATTGGAGCGTCTTGATCCCATTCTTCAGTATCTCATCGCCTGCGGCTTCATGTTCTGCGCCGCTTGTCACCCCATGCCCATCTACTATGGATACGGCTGCGGCGTTATGAACGACACAAACTGGAGCAATCCTGAGAAACCGACTTATTGGAATCTGGACATTGACCAGGCCATAGCCTATTTGAAGAGTGTCCCGCACCCCTTTCAACTGCTCAAGAAATCACCTTCTCGCATTGGACACAGCGAACCGTACTACGAGAAGTATGACAAGAAAGCTTTAAAAGCCGAGGCTGGGGTCGTTGCCGATATCTTCAAGCAGATTGAAAAAGTCGGATATCCCCAGCCCCTACCGCCAAACGACAACATTCGCATCAATACATGGAGCATGCCCTTCGCTACATATGGCGGTTCAACCATGTTTGCCAACGTTGGCCACGACACTGCACCCATCATGACTTGGCAGCTGGACCCTGGGCGGTTCCTGTACGCGTGGACTGTCGGCGAGCGTGCTGACCTCCGACCGGGAGAGGCAGTTTTGGTGCAGGATGAGCATATTGGAGCTTTGGCATCTTGGCTAGAGGGATTGAACGGAATCACTTTCAAGGTGCTCTTGGATTCAGAGCTTGACTGGTCTAAGCTCAAGCTCAAGTCTTCAACAAAGAAGTTTTGTATGGCACAATCTGGGAATGAGTACAATATCCGAGGCATCCCCGACGTTATTGTGCGGAATCCTGATCCGACAGTGCTTTTGGCCGCGCGTCTTGATACGCTTCATATGGTGTCGGTTTCGGTGCCTTTTACCAAGGCGAAGGAACAAGCTACGACTTCACAAGCACCATCATCTCCTACTCCGAGTTCTCCTCAGCCCGAAAGAGTGTTCAGCTCTCCACCTGCGTCGCCACACTCACAGTCTACCATGTCCCCGTTTTCAATGCCAGAAAAGACGGCCCAGACCCAGTCTCATCGAGAACCCGAAGTCCAACCCATGCTGCCATGGGCCGACTCTAAGCCAACGACACCGATTAGCCCCAACGTTTCTATACCACACAATGCGACGTCGGATCCTTTCACTCCTCTTCCCAAAGGATGGGAGTCGCGACTCACTCCTGATGGACAGATTTATTATGTCAACCATATGGATCAAACCACGTCATGGACTAAACCTGTTGCTCCCGTGCTTGCTCCTCTGCCGCCTGGATGGCAGGAGATGCGCACGCCAGATGGGGTACCCTACTATGCTGACCACAATACGCACACGACATCATGGGAGCGACCACCGCCCGCTGAGCTAATTCTACCGACGTACCATTCCGTCAATACGGAGTTTAAAACAGAACAGAGAACTCAGTCCTTCGGTGCAAGAAAGTCTGTATCAGCCAGCACAACGAGTACCATGTCCAGCGTGCCCTTTTCCGATAAACGCTCATCTGTAAGCATGCAGTCGGAGGCTACAACAATCGTGAGCAATTCTCAACAAAGTCGCGTCAAGCTAAACAATTACTCCAACCCTCATCCGCAAAGGCCCCGACAATTGCTCAACCCCTATTTATATCCCGCACAGGGGAAGGCGACGTGTTGGGTAGCAGATGTTCCCGTCACACCCGACATCTATCAGAAGCTACCATCTGATCAATACGAGACGTCATACATCAGGCATACCGCTCTTGCAGGTCAACCTACAGATCTCAAGAAGCTAGACTTTTCTCTCCGCCAAAAGGGCCGCACTGAGCTTGTCATCGGCTTGAACTTACACAATGAGTCCACTTTCAAGCGTGAGGTCATCAATGCCGAGCTGATAAAGTCTCTTGGAAGCATTCTGGAAGTGCTGCGGACACACTCGTTCTCGCGGGAGTTTAGCGAAAGATGCAACGGCTCGCCGCTGTCTGGCATTGTTGTTTGCATCCTGATTCATCAAGATCGCATAAAAGATGTCCCATGGCTGCGCCAGACCGGTATCAGTTTCTTCTGGGATATTCCTTCGTCTGTGCCTCTTAGTGACAGTAAGAAGGCTAATGGCCAATTCTACGACGATGCTCACAAAGCCACCCGCAAGATCCTCGGCAAAGAGGTAAAGTTGAATCTGAACGAGGTGAGAAGATTTCCAAGTGTATGCTGAATGACATAAGCTAATAAGGGATCGCAGTATACGACCACGTTTCATCTGCAAGACTGGGAACGAAGTCAGGGATTGATGCCTGATGTTGTCTCTGGTGCGGATCCAGTACAAGTTGTGCTATGCTCGACTTATCGCTCATGGACGGGATCTTACGCTACAGACTCTTTCAAGCATGTTTGCAACTTGCTCGATGCCAGGTTGTGTATTTCGGTTCCCGGTGGAACGACTGTGACTGGTGCTTCCCTTGAGAAACAATGGCAGCTTTCGCAATACAGGAAGAAACCGGCTGAGTCGGGGCAGGATGCCCATTGCGAGGAGTATATGGGATGACTCGACGTGAGGTATTAGTGTGTATCGCATAAGCCTAGAGGGAAAAACAAACTTCAAACGTGATACAGAATCATAGAAGAATGGTTGAAACCTGACGAGACGCAACGGTCTATCTTGATACCATGGCAACCTGCTTTGATGTCTAATAACTCTCTTGATACATTGCATAAAATCCAAACATACACGAGCCCCTATCAGAAAGGACAGTTCTACGATCATCCAACATTATGGTATCTCCAACACCCACACAACCCCCACTGCAGAAACCAAAGCCTACAGTTACTCATTGCTTCAACGTCTTTGACTTCCGACTCAACTTCCACGATGACAACTTGTTCGACCATTTAGACCCAGACGAGTCAGATTTGCTTCTCGTCGCTGGTGGCGGAACCTCCAACGAGCCTTGCCTCACGTCAGTGATGTCGCCTGGCGCATTGCCTTCGAGTTCAGGCGGTTGAACGTGAAGCTCAACAAGTTTGTTTGCAAGTGACGGACCAATTGGTGCTGTTGTTCCTGAAGTATTTGATGCCATCGAAATATGTCCTTCTTTCGCGCCGACCTCAGTCGAGTCGAGTTCGAGAAGTGGTAGCTGATCAGACTTCTCGTCCGACTTTGATAACTGCGAGTAGTCGACTTCGTCGCCAGGCAGCTCCGAGATAGTAGGCGCCGCATCCATCTCGACGGGTCCTCCTAGTTGTAGATCGAGACCAACACTAGAAGGGCTTCGGAGGGAAGTGTAGTCGGGAGGATTGCCGAAACGATTGCTGTAGATGATTTCTTCGACAGATGATCTCAGCTTGTTGAACTTGAAGCCAATGTTCACCTTCTTCAGTGGAATGAGGTGGTCTAGTTCATCATGTACTTGCTGCTGTAACCGCTTCTCCTTTCCATTGAACGTCGTAATTGTCGTTCTCGAGTAGTACTTGGCTGCGTCTTCGATCTGCTTGATAGAAACATATTTTCCATCATATCGAAACGACCGCTCAAGAATAAGAATCATATCGCACGAACACTTGAGCAACATTCTCGCTGTAGGAGGTAGCCCCAATAGACAACCCGCCGCACCAACAATGATACCAATTCCCATAGTCGGTACCGCAGCACCAATCGAAATAGCACTAACAGCCGCAAACTGCGATAGAGAAACCCGGAGGTACTGCTTAAAGTTGCTCAAGACAATATCCGACATGATCTGCTCGATCTCTGCTGGCGCAGCTTTGGGGAAGCCGAAGCATTGGAGTACATGCTCGCAGATGAGGCGTGAAACGGTCGGTGTTCCAACCAAGCCTGTGCAGGGGAGGGGAACGGCAGCAGTGCGGATCGCATGGGTTCCTAGTCTCATACACTCTGTTATCGCTGAGTTGATCTTCTGTTCAACATCAACGACTTGAGCGGCAACACAGAAGAGACGTACACGTTCGTCGACGATGAGGCCGAGGGTTTGTGAGAGTAGGTCTTTGACACCGGCGTCATCATCTATCACAGTTAGCGCCCGCTCATAACTCTCACGACTAGATTCCACTCACTCTTTGAAAGACAGCAGAAGCCGTCGGCTTTGTAGTGCTCAATCTGTGAGAGCTGGTTCCTCAGCTCAGCGAATTGTACCTCGGCAACAGCATTGGCTTTCTCTTCGGCGAGTCGCCTGGCTTCTCTGTAGTCGTCTGTCTTCTCCATGAGTTCTTCCAGATATTGCATCTTTCGATAGCCAGTGAGTTTATCCTTCTTTGTACCAACGACGAAAACGGGGACTTGGTGGGAGTATTGGGCGATGGTGGCAAACGTTCGCTTGTCGGCTTCTTCGATACGTGCAACATCGGCGTCAACGCAGAACCTAAGATCACATTAGCTTACTGTACGGCAAGAAAGAAGAGGAACTTACCAAATGACATGAAGAGCCTCGGCGGGATCCTCTTGGAACGCCCGGTGTCGAAGGAACTTTGCGATCAATTCAAGCTCAGTATCACTACCGGCTTGCCAACCCCGTGAGTCATGAATCAAGAGTCCGGGATGTTTGGGGGATTCAAAGGCGACGTTGATGTCATGAACTCCTTGTTCATACGAAAGAGACTCATCGGTCATCTCAACACCAAAGACTTTATTGATCAATGTCGATTTTCCGACGCCAGTCTTGCCGCACACTAGGATTCGAAAGGCTTTGACTCCACTTGCTTCGAGCTGCATCCCTTGAAGCCACGGAGCCAGTCCATCTTCTGTAGCGACGAGGTAGGAGTCCTGGAAGTCTGAAATCGGCTTCTTGAGGGGTTGGAAATTCTTCAAGTCGTTGTATCGGGGGTATCTATCGAGAATGCAGAATAGTGAGGGATGGATCATGTTTCCATATGGTCCTATGTTTGTTAGTCAAGTACGGATTAGGCAAACTTGGAGTACCTACCGACATCACACCAGCCTTTCAAGCTTCCATCTGCAGCAAAGACTTTCCGGTTTGCTGCATGTTTGTAGCAATCCGTATCAAGTTTGACGGAATGAGTTTCCACGCCGCCTGCCGATTTCTTTGCATGTGTGCTTTGAAGATCAAACATGCTTGTTCGAAGTCCATTAGTGTATTGGAGGCGCCATTCGATCTCTTCTGATCCATCCAAGGGCGGAAGGTTGCCGGCGTACTGCGGGAAGATCAAAGCCATTGGGTTATCGTTGGCTTTTGAGTCGCCCATGTTGTTGACACGGAGGCCAGAGTAGATACTCTCTAGAACCATCCACTGTAGCGGGTAGAGCGAAAGGCCGTCGTGAGCTGTACCGCCGATCATATCTTCGTGTGTACCGAGGAACCATGCTTGGGTAAGTGATCTATGTGTCATGTCCGCATCGTCAGGAATTTTAACTACCTCCGGTGTCTTGTTGGACTTGTTCTCATTGATAGCCAGCGCATGGCGAAGAGTTTGGATAGAGTGGTTGAATGAAATGTCGTATGATGTCTTTGAGTTATGGATGATGGTGTCGAAGAGACCAACGAACGGTATCCGAGGAGGATCTTGCGCTTCACTTTTGATCTTTTGTAATAGGACGGGGCCTCGCTTGAAATCATCTTCAAGCTGAGCCTTGATCAGGCCTAGAGTTGTATCAAACAGATCATCAAAACTTGACGTTGTTGGCAGGCCCATTCGATGCACGATGCCAGCAACTGCGCGGGCGATGAAGGCTCCGTGTCCAGAACCGTACAGCCAGAGCTCATCTTCTGGCCGCTCAAGCGTGAGACAGATGTCCCTGACAATGGTTTTGATAAGGCTTGTCGAGTCATCACTTGTCGTGCTCCGTGATCGGAGCATGTCGCTCAACTTGACAACATTGCTAGGTGCAACATAATACTTGGGAATCTGCGCAACAGAAAGTCCATTTGACTCAACTAGCCCGTCGTGTACGAGTTGACTGATCCTCTGAATCGTTGAAGGGTTGGTCTCCTCTGTTGTCAATCAGCAATGATCCTTGACGACGCCAAGACAAATGCTCACTCTTGGTTTCCCGAGCCTCAACTCCGTCTACCAACACCACAAGTCGTTTGATGGGTCTCTTTTCTGACATTTTCGTACCTCAGCGTTTACACGCGCGCCTACGTCGAGAGGAAGAGAATAAGGTTATTATATCAACGCCACAGTAACAGAAAAGAGATGGGATCAATCGTGAAATAAATTGGGCGGGGAAACGCGTGCTGACATCGACATGGGCGCTCCATTGGACTGTTTCGGGCCATAAGCGCGATTTCCAAATGTGTATAAGATAGCTGGGCGTAAGCAAGGCTGCATATCAGCCTTGTAGGATCAGTGGATCTTGAGGTCAGTGAGACCAGTCAGACACGCTGGTTAATCAGCAGCGGACCTCCGTGTCCGACGGAGTTGCCTTGGCTGTTGGGCTAAGCCTGCGATATTGCCGAACGAGACGGCCTGCTTTGTTGATCCTTTGCTGTGGTGTGGTGTAGCCTAGGGCTGAGCATTTGCTGTGTTGTGCATCGCCACGCAAAGGGGGGAAGCATATTGACGACATGTCAGGGGTCATGTCAAGTTTGGCAATACAGCCACATACGTCGATGCTGTTTGGGGGCAATCAGCAGAGCCGCATGCTTTGACATCTTTTCTATCCCGCAACCAATCAATTGATGTCGATATGGCAAAGGCGCTTAGATAATCGCGCCAGTTGTGCAATCGACGTAACCCCAGAGCCAAGCCAGCGGATAATTACCAAGCACCTTGTCAGCTCACCGGTACAATACAATACGCAACAACGTTTGCGTTTATCGGTCGCAATGCTTCATGTAGAGTTTGTCTCATGTCGCCATCGATATGATTACCATTAATACAAAAAGCCATACCGGCCTTGATCCAGACTATTCTCATCCCAGTGCCTCATCCTCCCCAACTCAAAACCATACGAGTCCGCAACAACCGAGTTCATTATGACTCTAACGTTCCGGAGATCCTCCTCACTATTCTGCACGCAGAACCATGCTATCTGAAGTGGATACACTAACAGCAAGGCGTAACTCGCTGAAGCTTGACCACGAAGTGCCCAGTTTGCCAAGCGACAGATCTCCAGGGCCAAGAACTTGTTTTTTGAGTCCTGATCAATATTGTTTGTCTCCTCCATACTGTTCTCCGGGAATAGCGAGATACCCAGGTATTCACAAGGTTGGACAAGACATAAAAGCATGGCGTAGCTGATTGCGAGAGCTACACATTCCATAGGGTCGTCCGGAAGAGGGATACCGCTGGCCTCTCTCATGACTGGATCGGTGGTACATACCCATGGCATGTCGCGGTACCATTCATGCAACTTTTCGATAAGTGCTTGTGTCCTGTTTCGCAAAACCTCAACTGCAACAGGGTCCGGTACAGTTGCTTTCCGTATATTGTCGTAGTCCGCGACGATCCCAGGCGGCTGGGCAAAGATGTCGTACAGGATATCGATCTTATCTGGAATTTCACCTTCCGGGAGGCATCTTGTGCTCTCCCATTGCGGCTGGTCGAGGAAACAATGGCGACGTTGATGACCAGCGGAGAGAGTCTGCATCCAGTCAGTGACTGCGCCAAAGCTCCGTTGGGTGAAAAGAACTTACAATGTAGTACCGTGCCGCTTGCAGTACTTGCCTTTCGGCTGGCGTTCTCCATGGTTTTGGGCCTCGCGCTTGCATCTAGGAGTCCGGATGAGCACAAGGTCAAAGTTTCGTCGTGAAAGGACTTACCAATCTCCCGAGACCATCATAGTGAAGAAGCCAAGCAGTTGGTTGAGAAAATACCACGTTTTCATATACACAAAGACACATGACGCTCATTAGGGTGCCCATATCGGTATTTGAGTTGCTGATGTCCGTCCGGAGCTGAGTCAGTGCATGAGAGTACAGGCGTAGCCCTTGTTCACAGGCGTTTCTATCCCGGTTCGTTCTTCCAAAGTACATCGCTGCCAATGCTTGTACGCATGATTGATGTAGTTCCGAGTGCTGGCCCGTTAGTAGTTCTGAAAGTATTCCTGGTCCCAGTCGTGGCCCGCATTGTGAGTCTTCTGGTGACAGCTTTGATAATGTGTAGGGGAAGAACAGCGTGTTCTTCTGTGGTACTAGGCTGACTATTTGGGGCTTGGGGTTCCTTGGACACTTTGTTGAGGCTCTGACATTGGCGAGACGACTGCATTGTGATGTCGCAGATTTCGAAACAGGCTGAGAAGGACAAGCAGGAGTCGAAGCGAACCGAGTCCCCTCGTCGACAAACTTTAGTTGACTGTGATAACCCGAGCATGCAAGACCTGCATTTTTACATCGTTGACAGTAGGGTTGCTGCTCATCTATCAATTGTCAGTTCCATCAAACCGCGCAACTTGCGAGGCCGACATACCGCATTTAACCTTGCGCTCAACACAAGTACCGCAACGTTTAATACGTCTTCCGTGTCGAGTCATGTGGAGACGTGTCACAAATGAAACAGAGTACAAAAATATTAATAAACAAGAATAGAAAACAGGTTAGACCGGAACCGAAACCACAGAGTCGGGTTCGTAGGGCTGGGAAAGACAAAGCTTGGCTGGCTGCAGGAAGGGTACCAGTAAAGGTTGGACGGGGGCAAGGTGTTGAAATACCCCGTAGGGAAAGCGATCAGACGCTAGGACGCCATGCTACGG